GCACTGCACAACGACATGCACTTCAAGTACGCCCGTCCGCGTTTGAACCGCTCGTGGCGCTTTACTACTACTACTACTACTACTACTACTATTACTACTACTCCTGCTGCTGCTGCAACAAAAACTACTACTACTACTACTACTACTACTACCACCAGCACCACCATTGCTACTATTATCATCATTGCCGGGAAGATGTACGGTTTAGGGAAATCTAAGTGTGAGTTAGGGGCTCCATTGTGCAAGGCTGCATGATCGAAGCCTCAATGGCACGGAGTGCTCAGCTCCCGCGAGTGCATTTTGTGCTCTGGCCTTGAGGCCATTATCCTCGGCAATGGTCGCGACTTCGCTTGCCGATAGACAACGTCAAGGCATGCGCCGGCTAACTGCAGTATGGGACAAAACACACATAGCGAGTAACGCCAACAAGAAGTCGCAGCAGAGCCAGAACATCATCCCCAACCCAGATGCTCTCAGCCGTATGGCAAAGAGATGCGGCTTTGTTTCCGTCCGTGCCAACGGCGAAGAAGGGTCCAGGTGCCCCCCTGGCAGCGGGTCTTAGGCAAACAGTTGAGAGCACATCTTTTCGGCTCGAGATCAGGATGGTGATCGGCCCTTGGCCTTCGGTGGTGACCTTTCTCCGTGTGTTCCATGGCGCTGTGACAGACTTGGATGAGGTTTTCCTCCCTAGCTACTACCATTTCTGGCCAAGATTGGACTTCTGGCCCAACACTGCGCTGGTGCTCGTCTGGGATGAGGACCCTCCTGTGACTCCTGTGTTATGCCTTACACACACTATTCTGCAAGCGCTATAAGACTTTTCAATCTCAACCCTAAACCCTTTAAACCCGGCTACCCAGCCGTTTCTATAGCCACGCCTTCAGCGGACGGAAAAGGGACTCCTCTCAAAAATGCATAAGAATTATTAAGAACCAGCAGTTCTCACAACCGCAAGCAGGAATCGGATGAAGTAGAACTCCAAAACATGCCAAAAAACATAAACAGGAGTCCGAGGAGGATCGAAAGGCGGCCAGACGATTGCACGAAAAGTGGGACGCCATCTTCGCAAACAAGGAGCGGCTGGCAAGCGGAGTCAACCCGAGGAGCCACAAAGGATGTGCATACATGTATGTACACATACTCACATACTGCTACATAAGGACAGACATCCATCCATACATATGTTTACATATACACAACAGGTTATCACTATATGTATATTTCGCATTATAGAGTATGTATCTACATCAGTGTATATTGTACATAGGTGTGTGTATATATACCACAGTAAATTTCATTCCAGGAGACACGGCACGAGTTGGGTGGACCTGTTCGAAAGAAAGCCACCCTCCAACGTGGTCTGTGATGTGAAGAAGCAAGGGGGCCGAGACCGGGTGTCAAACCACGGCTACATCCGGCAGGCGTCCGCCTTCTATGAGGCCGACCAGACTCTTCTGAGGAATTCGGCCCTGTTGGAGACTTCGGATCTTCAGCTCAGTCAGGAGGAGCTCTACATCTTACTCTGCGACTCTGATATGGCCTTTGTCGCCCCGGCACATCCGTTGGCTCTCTTTGACCGTACGAACATGACGGGCCGACGGCTCAGTAATGTCTAAGTCAGAGCAGAGCCGTCAGATACCTTCTCCAAGCATCGCGGGCAAGAGACTGCCTTCAGGGCAGTTAGTTTTGCATAATAACAATTATGGGCATAATTATAAATTATTATTAGTCTTACTATTTCGTTATTATTGTTATTATTAGTATTATCAGCTGAGGCCCTTCGAAGTTCCGCCCTCGCTTGCTTGGTGTCTGGGGCCGCTCCGCAGAGGGGGGAATCTCACGAGAGACCAACTTTCAGAGCACGCCCTCGGCTGCTAGGTTTGTCTTTTTTTGCACTTTTCGTTTTGAGGTTGTTAAAAGGAGAAGGGAAGGAGCATGGGTACCGCATAACTATGGAGGAGATATTGGGGAACCCGAGGTTGCAACATTTATGGATCAGCAGCCCTGGACGATTCGCTTTCAGGATTTCCCATCTGTCCGCGAGCGCATCAGGCAGGCGGTCTTCAGCAATCTGCTCCCCGGCAGCCTTATCTTCGCTTTAAGCTTTCGACTGTGACTTCAGCAAACCAAGGACTTCAAGATAGAGCCTAAAGAGTAGGACTGACACTATCCGATCCCCCATGAAAACAACCCCCCAAGTGTAATGGCCTCCAGGCATCGTTTCTTCATTGCAGATCTCCGGAAGGGTTGGCCGGAGGAGAAGTCATACCACGAGGTTCCGATCGCATTGGTGCGTTGGACAGGGAGTCTCGGCCCTTCAGGGAATCATTGAAGCATGGACGGTTTAGGGCGATTCAGGGGTTTGGATTAGGTTTAACCCTGACATCTGGAAGTTTTCCCCAAAGCCGAGGCGTGATGGGGCACAGAGAACGGAGCTTGTGAGGTTCTACTCCCACAAGCCTGCACGGCCCTTGCGGGCTTTCTACAGGCAGCCGGACATACACACCCGGGAACTACCTTTTGCAGAGATGCAGATTGCATGGTTCGAGATGACCAACGTATCACAAAGCGCAGAGCGGATAGAGCCCAAGAGCTTTGTGGACTTCAGTTTTTCAACCGCAATGGGAGTGGTCTGGAGATGTGCGCATGCAGCCCAAGCATACTCGCTCCACGATCGCAGTGCATCCAATGCGAATGTCCTGCTGAATAATCTGTTCTGGATGCCGCAGAAGAAGAGCTACACCTGGCATTTTCGCAAGCTCACGGTCCTTCCCGATCCCGTTTTGCAAGCAGAGTTCCGTCGCTACCAGTCAACATCCATCCTCGATTCCAGGCTCGAGAAGTGGTACAAAGAGGAGGCTGCGGCGCGTTTCGAGGAGTCCACCGCCTTGGCTTTCGTGCAGAGTTTGCCCCTGAGCCGTTTTCACTTGGCCGTGCTTGGCTCTCATGACCTCTCCAGGCCGGCCAAGGCCAGACGAGCAGCCCGGGCCCTCGACCCCTTGGGAAGAAGCTGCAAAGATCACCCCCACGGCCACAAGATCTTGGTGCATTGGAATGCGGTGAAGACGGCACGAAAAGAGGCGCAAGACAGCAGAAGTGAGCCGGGCGAAGGCGAGGTTTTCATGCCTCACAGCCGTTTCGCCCTTCTCCAGATCTGCCTCTATGACGCCATGTGGAATGGCGCCTGGGGCCAGGTGGCGCTGGACAACACAAGCGGATCCGAGCCTCCCTTCGGAAGGCTTGCGGAGCTCTGCTGCGCACACTTCGCCAGCAGGTGGTGCAAGACGCCCAGGCCCTGCCCGCAAGTGCGGAAGATCCAAACCTTCCCGCAAACCCCGTGGGGTGCGAGATGTCCAGCCACGAGCTCCTCCACAGACAGAGCAGAAATTGCAGATTGGGAATGCCCAGCACCAGAGATCTTTCAGGAAGACAGCTTCTGGCGGGTTGCTATGATCCTGAACCAGCACTTGCTCAGAAATCCCTTTTGGGGCCAACCCTGCGAAGTCCAAGTGCGAGAGCTTCTCGGTGAAAATTCGGAGGAAGACATTATGACAATTATTGGGTTGCTGTTATTGAAACCTCTTCCAAATACTGATGTTGATGAGGAGGAGGAGGAGCAGGAGGATGAGGAGGAGGAGGATGCGCTAATAAATCTACATAGGTGGGTAATTGCCTGGCTTGCATGACGTAGTGAGTACATGCTTGCATGGATAGGTGGAGGAATGGACGCCGGAAGAGTAGAAGAGCGAAGCGACTGCAGGAATGAGGACTGAAGGCATATACGTAAACGCATGAGACCGGCCCTCTCCCTCTCCCTGTTCCCCTGGCCTCTCTCGATCTCTATCTGTCGATCTATCTGTCTGTCTATCTGTCTGTCTGTCTGTCTGTCTGCATATATGTATACACACATATGTATGGACACACACACACACACACACGTGGGCACATGTACAGTAGGTACAAAGAGGGACACGGTAAGCAAACGAACACATATACATATTCATCTACTATATGGGAGTTTCCGAAAATTAGGGTACCTTCTTTTGGGGTCCTTATAATAAGGATCCTACTATTTAGGGTACCATATTAGGGTCCCCTATTTTCGGAAACTCCCATAGAGAGTAAGATATAGCCCAGGAATTCCGAGCTCCTCCGGGACCGGCTCTACCTGTCCACGCAGAATTCATCCCTTCTGGGGGCCAGCACCTGGCTGTGAGTTCGCAACATCTTACGGAGGGTTGAGGAACTAATCCATACATCTCCCTACTGTGGCCCGTAATGGTTGCTGGCCTGAAGTGACCTGAAATGAGAATGCAGGCATCCCCCCTGACCGAGCGGCACGTATCTCGTTGAGGGCGCGTCTCCTGAAGATTGACCGCAGCAACGCGTTCGGACTGGAGGGTGACTGCGACACCTTCGATTTGCCACATACACTGCAATGCCACTACGAGAACTTGCGGGCCCTAGTGCAATCCCGCAAGGGTTGGCTGCATTGGTTGCTTTGAGTTCAGACTTGGAGACGACGCATTCGGGAGATGCGAAAAAGATGCGCTGTGCCTTGCCTCCCGGCTTTGATGCTGCATCTCTATCTCTGTCGCAAGTCTGTGCGTGCAACCAATGAGTACCGGTGCCCCGACATGAGTGTGAAAGAGCTGATTGATCATTGGATCTGTGGCAGAGTCGGATTTTGAAGAGGCGGCTGCCTGGGTCTATGCCTCTGACGTGCCAGATCGCACGTCCGGAAGCAAGATTCTGCGCTGCGACACTTGCTTGCACCAGGTATAAGCAGTACTCCACTACTCGTAAGCCCTTTTCGGAGCCGGCTTGAGCCATGGAGAAGTCGCAACACATTGGCAGGTTGCGATCTCGGACACGCACATGCTTCACGACAGGCTCCGGCTTCCAGCTGGTGTTCCCTGGCATTCAAAGGTCCGAAGCGTTGTTGTTTCAGTTCCCTCATGAAGAATTATGAGAGCTCGCATTCCTGGCCCAGGATGTGCTCATCCACTGTGGTGACTTCAGCAACGAGGGAACCGAAGAGGACTTCGGTCAACGAAATCTGCCACGCCTCTGCTTGTTGGGATGGCTGCCAGGGGGAAGTCGTCGAGGGCGGTACAGTAAGTAGTGTTTCGATCGCCATTGTTTGCAAGCGTGGCACGAGCCTGCCTCGTGTCGTCTCCGACGGGATTGCACGACGCGCGAGGAGTGTGCCGATTTCTGTCGGTGGGCTTCGCACCAGCCCTTCCGACACAAGCTCTTGGCTGCCGCCTTGGGCCGTGGAAGCGCTTCGTTACAGTGCAAGTCCGTGTTCTCGTATGTCGAGTATTGTGAGAAGGTTTGACCTGGGATTTCGAAGCTCTCTCAGACATTCCTGACTCAGGTTTGTGGGAATCACGATCTGACCTGCGATGAAAGCTGGTACCAAGAACACTGGCAGGCTGGGGCTGTCGCAAGTCCACCCAAGCCCATGCACAAATTTCAGCTGGGCTGGGAGCACCTTTCCGATGATGATGAGCGATCTTGGTTGTATACTCCACCAGGCGTGGCACGAAAGCTTTCAGTCGCCAGCGAGGGTAGCAGCCATGCTGGAAGAGGCAGGAATCACGGCGTGGATCCCGGAATTGGCAGATCTGCTTATGCTTCTGGTAAGATCCCTAAACCCCAAAACGACCTCCAGCTAAAGACTGCACTGACCAGGTCATGGCAGGATCCGGGCGCGCCCTTCGAATCGCCGGCGTCTGCTTCTATGGCAGCCCCCGGCAGCCGCGACAGCCCAAGGGTCGGCAGCTGGGCGGCAAGGCAACATGTATAGTGTTACAAGTCTACAATATAACATATAGTTCAAATTGTCGTAAATTTATAGTGGGAATCTTGGGACTGTATGGGAATGATACTATAGGTATTCAAGGGATGCAAGGTTCAGGGCGGTTTAGGGATGTCTACATAGGTTCAAAGCCGAGGGTTCAGGGCTGTTTAGACTTTTGATTCGCAGACGTTCTGGGGCATTGTAGGGTTTTTTGCGTTTTCGCAGGGGTGTTGGCTTGGTGAAGGGGGTTTTCGATGCGGATTCAAGCTTCGAAGGTTTTGGGCCGAGGGTGTAGGGACCCAAATGCGCCAGATATCATCGATGTGTACAAGGTCATAAGAACTACAAGCCGCTATCCGCTATGTCATCGGATGTCACACTTGCATGCTGCCTCACGCAATCCTGGGCGCAGGGTAGGGCACGTAGCTTGGTACACGCCACACTATATTGCATGGCCTGAAGTACTTTTGTTCTGCTTGATCTGCGTAGCGTAGCAGAGGCGACCGATGGCATTTGGCTTGAGGCTCGGGGGCGAGGGTTTGGTGGTCGAGGTTGCAAGACTTCGCGATTGCGCAAGGGGCGTGTTCGGAGGCTTGGCATCACCTCGTCGGACGAGAGCTGGACGTACGTTGATTTGAAGGTTCATTTCACGTCGTCAAGAACCCCCATGATAGGCCCACAGCCGTTGTCCATGGGGTGAGATTGTTGGATGTGTTCATTGCTTGTTTTTCAGCATCTTGACCTGACTCTTCGTTTCGGAGGCGTGGCGCTGAATTGAAGGAGGACTGCGGACTACGTACATGATGCTGCGTGGTGGTCCTCCTCCACCTCCTTCTTTCCATTGTTGTTTGTTCTTCTTCTCTCTTCTTCTCTGGTTGGACGTACTGCCACAGTCGTCGTTGTCCAAGACAAGATCAAAAACCGGATCAGAGTACAAGGAGGCCCCAGATCCCAGACAAGAAGTGCTCTGTGGTCATCAGAACTTGGCGGAATGTTGAGGCTGATCTTTGATACTTCAGATGTTCTTGTAGGCTAGATTTCGAGGATCGGAACACAAGGGTGAGAACAGAACAGAAAGCCGAAACAAGGCCATCCCTCTCCATCTTTTCGGATCGAAGGCGGATGTTGCAGCGAAGCTGATCAGGTTTTCAGATGTAGTTTGGCAGGGCACAGAATCCCAACGTCCATGCCTCGCGTGCATGTGGCTCTTCGCTCCTTCGCAGTTACTGCACAATCCCTCTTTGCAGGAGTGGGCCAAAATCCCGACTGGCATTGACGTGCTCCTCACACACACCCCACCCGCAAACATTTTGGACATCGCGGACCATACTGGGCGACAAGGTCAGTCTATCGGTGCAGGCCCCAGGTCAGGCCAAAATCGGGGCCTCGCAGCGTCTGCCTGAGCTGTCAGGCTGTGAAGAGTTGGCCAAGGCAGTCAGCCAAAGGACAGATGTCGCTGCAACAGCCTGAGAGTAGACTGGGGCTGCATCTGGGAAGAATGCTCTACAGAAGTTCATGCCATCTATCGCCACTATGAAGGTGCACGTCTTCGGCCACGTGCATGGCAGCCTCTCGTCAGCTCATTGAAGAGAAGCGCTTTGTGTGAGACTATGCTAAAGACAGGTTGGCGAAGCGGTTGGTTAGACTGATAGCCTTCTCTAGGTTCAACTATGTGAGAAGCTTCTACTACGAAACTCGAAGCCATTTTCCTGACGAGGCTACGGCATCCATCGCTCAAAGAAGACATGCTTCATCAATGCAGCCTCAGCTGCAGCACGCCGCGGCGAGGGCGGGTTGCTCCATGCGCCCATCGTTTTCGACATCACCAAACAGCTCTGACCTTGCGGAGTGCGCCAGAGCCTTGAACTTTGGCCTGGCAATAGCGATACTGAGAATGGCACAAGGGCGCCAGTAATCAGAATAAGAAGAAAGAAACAGACTAAGGACTGATCGCCGAGAGCGACGAGACTTTCGATGTCGACTCGGAAACAGGATGTGAGCATAGCCGACAAGGACAGGAGGCCGTGGCGCTAGTCGCTAGTACCGCAGTACGCTTGAAATCAGTGGATCGACAAAACTACAGGTCAGGTCCGGAGTCGCTCTAGAGCCTGACAAGCTCAGTGAGTGCAAAACCTCGCAGAAGCACGGCTCAAGCTTATTGCAGCTATCTGCAGCTCCCTGTCGTTGAAGCTGTTCAGAAGCACTCGCTTGCAGCCATGCCATCCAATTTCCCGGATGTCGTGGATTTTGGTGACGACGGTTGGGACCGACTGTCACACATGTCTTTACTTCCATCAGCGAACTCGCTGAACACGGGCTTCAGTGGTGGAACTTCAGCCGTGCGCCTTCAAGGAAGGCTTCTCAGCTTCGAGATAGACGAGTATTTGATCAGGCCTTTCTGGGATGGTGGGTCGAGATTTCGCACGGGCGTGTAAATACGGTAAGTTGATTGCTGGTGCGACCCAGATCCAGACGTTGACGTGCAATGATTCAACACTTTCTCTAACAGTTGCCAGTGTGGTGAACTGTCTGGTGCAGTGCTCATATCGGATCACAGGCATGTTATCTCGCGGTTCCTGCGTGGTGCAAGCCGAAGGGTGTGATCTCGTCAGAATCCGTGAAGGTCGCTGGCTATACCACTAACATCGTGCTCTCACAACAGCCCGGTCCGGTCGTAGATGCGCCGTACGCGCAGGTGTGGTGCTACAGCACCATCATCATCATCACCATCATCATCATACACAACACAAACAACAACACCATGAAGACTGCTATGTTGCCGCTCTCGTTTGATACCGCCTCCTCCTCCTCATCGTCACGATCATGCTTAGAATGATTATAGCTTATAACCGCCATCAACAGAATTCAGCGGTCCGGCTGAAGGCACGTCGACTCCGGCTCAAGTCTCGCTGCGGTGCACGTGATCATCCTATTTTTCATAGGCATTAACGGCAGAACCGTTACCACCACCATCATCGTGGCAGGTGTCAGTCGGGGACAATTGGATTTGACAGCATCTTCCACGAAGCACTTGTCAGGCTGTTGGCGGTTGTGAGGAAACTACATGTGGAATGATTCACCCTTTTCGGCCCGATCCTCTGACTTGCACTCGGGATGTGTTCGTGTCGCATAGAATTTCACCTGTATATGCAGATCAGCTTCTCGAGTCTCCAGCAAGTATGTGTGTATATTTGCGTGTGTGTGTGTGTGTGTGTGTGTGTGTGGGTGCGTGTGCGTATAATATATATATATATATATTATATATATATATATATATGCAGTTATTATTATTTGCACGTATTACCTTAACCCTGTACACGACCCAACCCCGATCTTACCTTGCTGCCAGGCGCTGTGTTGCACGAGGACGCAAAACCACTTTCACTACTGGCATGGGCGAGCAGCCAGGCTCATATGAGCGACGGGTAGTGAAGCTTCGTGGGAACCTTCAGTCTTCACACAGCTGAGGAAGCCAAAAGCCTTTCTTCTGAGCACCCTCAAAGGTATGTAGTGGTGCATGAAGCTGGTTTCAGGGTTAGCTTTCTCAGGCAACATTGGCGCTTCGAGCTGGGGGGCGTAGTCGTCATCACGAATGCAGACCGACCAGGGGGCACAGTGAGCCTGGGCTGCTATGAAAATTGCTTTTACATCTGCTATTAAGGTAGCATTTAAAACGCTACCAGTAGTACAACTCTTTGGTTCTGTTGCTAGTTTCAGGCACCTCTGAACCTACTAGGGTAGCAAGTATGTCTGATCGCCCATAGAAAGAAGTCAGGCGGCTCTAGGAGTACCTCCCGACCAGGAATCACGACACAGATTTACAACCAAGATACAAGTGTCATTAAAACAAGTTGACATTGAGGCAAGCCGTGCACTTCGAGGCAGGTTTCGTCTCCAGGCAGGAGCAGGATAGCGCCAAGGTAAAGTACGAGCAACTTCTGGAGCTCTTGGAGAAAGCCTTGGACGACAATGACGTTATCTGCGCATTGGACGAGACCTTCAATCTTGATCTGCTCAATGTGGAGAGTTCCCTTGTACCGCTGTTGCTTCAGAATCCAGCAGACTGCCCATTGCTGCAGCACTGCGCGAAGCAAGGATGGGCGGCAGCAGTGAAATGGCTTGTTGAGCATGGCTTTCGTGATGGCCTGGGCTACCGCTGTAAGCACCAAATGTCTGTGCTTCATCTGGTGGCATGGGAGGGTCAAACCAACGTGCTAGCAGCGCCTAGTATTTCAGTCCATTCGTTTTCGTTTGGCATCGGTCCGGTATTGGTTGTCAAGCTGTTTGTTCTGTTTGTTCCTTATGCTGCGAAGATACACTTTACATGTCTAGGTCCTCGAGGAGCTCGGCTGTGTCGAGCAGCTATGTGACATACCCAATGCTTTCGGTGAGCTGCCGGAGCTCAGTGGCTTCATTCGTTCGCAGCAGCTGGCATTGGAGACCGGCAGTGATGTGACAGCAGTGCAGCAAGCCTGCTTGGATGTGGCACTAGCTTGTCGACGGGTACGCACCAAATCGCCATGCTGCAGCTGCCGCGCCTTTGTTGAGGAGGCAAATGCGCAGCTTTCCTCAGCTTCCTCGCTGTCAGAGGTTCTTCTACCGGTGGGCGTCGAAGCCCAGGCCATCCAACGGCACCTGCAGGGACCGCTACTGTGTTCGGACTTCGTCTCCAGGTACGTGGACTTACCATCCGCACCTTTGCTGCCATTACGTCCTCGCTTTCAAAGTCAATGCGCGCATGTGACCGATGATGCTTGCAGCTCCAGGTCCTTCCTTGCGTCCTCGAGATCTTGGTGACAAATGTCAACCTGGAGCGTTTGGTGCTCGAGTACTGCTGCCTGGGAGCAGGGTCGGCGACACCGTTGAAGCACTTCTTAGACAGCTTGCCGCACAGGCGGGGCATCGTGTCCAGTTTGTCAAGCGATAGAGGGAACATATTGGATTGTGATTTTTTTCGAACGAGCATGTTTGACCGACCGATTTCGATCCTGCTGTCGGCACATTGTTCATGGTGCTTCTCGACCCTACTTTGGAAGGAACCTTTTTCCAGTAGCATCCTGCAGCAAGTATCAGCAGCATTTATTCTGGATGTCTGGTTGTTGGCACTCGTAAACTGGAGCCAAATTGTCACCCCTGCTGTGAGTGTCGAAATATGAGAGCCTGAGATGCACATCTCCCAGATTGAAATGATCAGCTTCGCTCAGGCTTGCCTTCTTTGAGCTTGGTGGCAACCCGTTGCGTGATGAGGGGCTTCGAGCGCTCCTGCCAAGCATGCATGGCAAAGTCCTGAGCCTCAACATCAGTGGCACAGGTCGGGATCGCTTAACAGTAAGCCGATAGTCAGCCTAGTGGCATAGTAGAGCTGGCTGGGACGTATGAATTGAATAACCGTGTGAACGATTGTGGATCGCTCTGCCGTTGCGCAGCTCCTATCAGATTACATGATCATTTACACACAGTTGCAGACGGAAACCTCGGCACCGCGGGTTATGCTCGAACTGCCTGAGCAACAGCCATTGCGATGAGGACAAAAAACTCTTCCTCCTGCAGCCTGAAGTCGTTTGTGTGTGGATCTGTTAGGTATGACGACGGCAATGCTGAAGGAAGTGTCAGCTCTTGTGCGAGACGGAGGCATTGAGAAAATCGCTTTGGCCGCAAACGACCTGGCAGAAATTGGGCCACCAGCACAGTGTCATGGCATGAGGACTGGTTCTGAGGTAGTGCGGATTCTTCGATGTTGTGCTTGATCCTGCCTGGGGAGTTCATAATCGCTGGTAGGTCCCGTTGGGCGTTAACTACAGTACGATTCCCTCCAAATCGACGTTTGGGTGTGTTCGAACTGCCAAATTGCCCCGGCCGTTTTCTTTCTGCAACGCTGTGCAGTGTCCATCACGTGTTCAAGTACAGCCGTGGGGCCTGTACTGTAGCGGGTCTCGCCACGCAAGTGGGGTGTCGGCAGTCCTTGCTTTTGCAGAAAGTTATATTTTCGGGAGTTGCAGACATTTTGACAGACATCACGTCCTGCAGGACATTGTCGGAAGGGATATCGTCGTCGCCTTCCTTACGGTCTGTGGATCTCAGCGACCTGCCCCAAGCCGAGTGTGCACACTGAGCAACGGAGCCTTTTCACGAGGAATGTGCTTGCGAAGCCAAGGCAAGACACGTCTCTCTCCGGGGCAGCTCCAGCACCTTGCACAAGCTATCCGCACTGCCCCTGCGCTGGAGACAGTGACTCTGGTTGCTATCAGCATGGCGATGGAGTTCGGCCGCACTGACGGCAAGAATCCGTTCATCGCTTCTCTGCGAGATCCACTGTGCAGCGTACTTCGTCTGGAAGTTTCGGTGCTGGAGTACCCAGAGCTTTGGGGTGCCTGCATGAAGGCCAAAAAGGAGAGAATGAAAGGCAAAGGAAAGGGCACCGGCGGCAAAGGCGTGCTGTCCGGAGGCAAGGGTGGCAAGCCAAAGGGAGTCAGGGGTGCAGGGCCCAGTCGCGCAGCTGGGAAAGGAGAAAGGAACATTCAGAACAATGCACAGATCCTAAGCTTGCCAGCAGACTTGGTGGCAAGACTCAAGGACATCAGCCAGACTCATCCCGATCGTGACAGACGAGCTTTTTTCAGCACCGAGCTCTTCGGCATTACGGCTGACCTTGCTGCAGACACAGAGCTGAGCCAGGGGGCCATTGGGAAAGCCTTCAGGATCCGTCTTGAATGCAAGACCAGGGTGGAGTCCACCTTGTCCACCCTCAGTGGCAAGTCTGTGAAGAACCAGCCCGGCTATGTCGCATGCACTCAGCTGCAGCCACATTCAGAGCCCTTCACGGCTTTGGAGTCTATCTGCTTGGTCATCTACAGGCCGAAGACAGCCGACATCCTCTTGGTGCCTGAGTGGACCAAGGCGGCACATTTGTTCCGAAGTCGTTTGGACGACTTCGTCCTGGATGCAGGTCGCTGCCTTGGTTGTCTGATGTGCGTGTATAGGCTGGGTGCAGGTGCCCGGGGTTTACCAACAATCGGCGGATTGGGGCTTTAAGCTGCAGCTTTCTCGGAGGCTTCGGCCTGTTAGGAGAAAATCCTTGGCATCAGGATAAACATGAATCATGTTTATCACTATCATCCCATGGCTGTGTTGCTCGTTACGATCTCGCCGTCGGCCATGGCACTCATGTGTTGCATGCTGTCTATAAGGAAGTCAGGAGAGTTGCCAGATCTGGTGGGGCAGGTTTTGACAGAAGCGACGTTCAGAATAGGCTTGAAGAGCCTGCTGAGCCCAGGCTACGTACTGCAAGATCGTTTCGGCGTCAGTCGCAAGACTCTTCGACGTCTGTGTGCTGAAGAAGTGATGCAGGGCATCAGGCTCGAGGACTTTTCAGATGAAGAAGTGCACATCTTGGCCGGCCTCACATCACCGGCGAACTATGAGGCCTGGACGGGTCGAGCGCTCTTCTCGGCTAGGCATCAGGTAGAATTTCAGCGCCTCGCTCAGCTCGAGGTTGTACAGAATCTGATCCAGGGTTTCAAGGATGAGGCCTCTAGAAGAGGGCTGGGAGAGACATGCCCGGCTCCAAACTTGTGGTTGCCATCGGATTCACATGCTGCTCAGCGCATTGCTGGACGTGACTTCGAGCGACGGGTGGACTTGGAGTCAACCATAAGCAGCTGCCTTTTCAAGTGGTTCACCGGCACCGTTGAGTGCTCTCAGGTGGCTGATAGTGCAGAAGGTGTGGCTACCGCCAGCTTCGACGGCCAATGGACGAAGAAGCTGTTGTCGGTGTGTGTACCTGAGTCCATGATTTTGGATCATGGCCAGATACGCGGCATGCGTGCCACTAACCGCCCACCCCAATGGAAACATGTGTCATGCCTGGAAGAGGCTTTTCGTCATCATGCTCACTTTGGGCTTGCTGATGCAGTGACCGAACTGGTCCGAGAGCGTGCTGCATTCCAGCTTCAGTGGCTTCGGGACAGCCCGCATGCCAGCTTGAAGCTGCGAAGGCGTTCCCCTGACAATTTATAACCAGCGCCTTTAGTCTATGATAGATGTACAGCGTACAAACATAAGGCGAGTTCTTGTCACTTCTGCGAACGAGGAAGACTCAACGAGAGAGAGATGCAAGTGTGAGACCAATATTGGCTGTAGAGTGGGGAGCAGCGTTGTGAAATTGATGAGATCTTGTATCATTCGCAGGGCGGTGCCTCACTTGGTGTTGTAGGAGGCATGCCTATCTGTGAAAGTCGGACTCATCCAGAACGGTGTAGTTGGAGGAGGATGGAGTTGTCATAAGAAGCTGTGAGGACGGTTGAGGCGTGCCAAAGCCCTGCTGCTCTGAGTGGCAAGGGACTCAAGGCAGGGAGTTTGCATACCCCAGACGTGTTCGATGTGCATGCGAGCCGAAGCAAGAGGTATGCATCAAGGCCCTTCTCAAGGCAGCCAAGAGCAAAGATCTCAAAACACCTTTCTGTCCAGGATCTGCAAAAACCTCGATCGCAGCCGCGTAGCTCTCCGACCGGGCGCCCGCCTCGTTCAGGCCAGGTCTTGGGCAGTCCCGTGCCGGGCTATGCCAAGTGCTGTCGGTTCTTGCCCGGAAGCTGTTTAGGATGATGGCTCGGGGTACTCTTGGTTGTTCAGTGCGGACGCACGACCAATGCCCTGACCTCTGTCTTCTTTATCGCTTGGGGGCGATTGCTGTGCAGGTTCAGGGTACATGTGACTAGACAAACGCCAGATTATTCTAGACCTCTGGTCCTGAAAAGGAGCTCACTAAATCCTTCAGCCATATAATATACCTGGGGTATCAAATCCGGGATCCGGGAATGAAGCAAAGTCGAGTTGGGGTGTCTGCCTGTGCCCTGCGAAAACATTTGCTTGCAGACTAGTGCACTCCGGGATTTGGGGTTGAAGGCATTGTGGGCGTAGTGTTTAGGGTTTAGGGGCTTTGCTGTCGAGTACGTCCCCAAGCAACCACGTTTGCGCTTTACCCTTATCCTCTTTGCCACGCCGCCAGGCCCAGCAGAAGCCGGGCAAGGCAAGAGATCTGAAGAGCTGGCGGCAGCAAAAGGTACAAGTAGCTCCTGGTCCTTACCGGTCCTTGCAAGGAATCCCGAACCGAACTCGATTCCGACAAACTCAGAGTAGGAGAGCTGGACCCCAGTACGTTAGCAAGGAGTCAGTCTGCTCCGGGGTGCCGATTGGCATGAGGGGCTGCGCCCACCGGCGGGCAGCGTAGGTAGAAGCCTGGAGCAAGGCTGAGGCCACCCACCCCCCCTCGCCAAACCCCGCTGATGCTGATGATGCGCGCCCTTTGGGGTCCGCCGAACCCGGCTGATGCTCATGATGCGCGCCCTTTGGGGGCTACCCATGGCGACCCCACAATGACGCAAAAAAAACTCGAAACTAGGTGGGGTCGGTGGCACGGGCGGTCACTCCCTTTGCTAAAGCAAAGCTAGCAAGGCCACAGGTCGCCTGAGGCTCGAACCAGCAGGCGCAAGCGCTCGGGGACCGAGCACTGCCCGATTTAATGGCTGCCGCCAATGCCGCGGACCCCCAAAAGGAAGCAAGTGCACGAGCAGGAGCAACAGTAATCAGTCAGAGTGTGGGTGTGTGTTATACAGGGTAGTTTACGGTTGAGTGCTTGCAGTCCACGGCGAGATCAGAATGCAAGGCGGTGCTCCGTGGGTGCGGTGTCGTGGGACTGAGGCTTAAAAATCTAAATATCTACAGATATACATTCTTCCCTAGGCTCCTATAGCATAGACTTGCTGCTTCCAGCTTGATTCGAGGGATGCGGCGCAACTGGCAAAAGCCTGTGTCGTCGCTCAATCCCCTAGCCGCTGGTTCCTCTCAGCCTATGAATTTCTGCTCTACTCGGAAGTCCTCCCCACTCGGGTTGCACGAAACTGGCGGGAATGGTGCGAACATCGAGCCGATGCTTGGGATGTGTGTTCTAACATTTTCTAACCAAAAAGGGCGAGCGCAAACTCCAAGCCGCGGATGCGCCCGACGCATCAGGCCGAGTGAGACCCATTCGGTGTGGATACGAAGCTTCGGGCAGAAATGCAGGGATATTTGGCCTTCGAGGACCGTCTCGAAAATGCACGCATGCGCTCCGCTTGGCTTCTGCGGCAACGGCGCCGGCCTCGCCCAACCTTCGGGCACTGCCCGATACCACGATACCAACAAGAAGAACAAGAAAACAACTCCTTCATGTGTGTCTCGTTTATTTTCGCCCTTGGACAGGCATGTCTGCGTGCTCAGATAACGATGTCATCAGCATCCATGATTTCCTAGGGGCGCACACTTCTTGGAAACGGCTTTCCGAACCTGGTTGCAACAGCTTGCATGTGAGGAAACCAAAAAACATGTGAGCAAATTTCTCTCCGTACACCGCGTGCGCTCCTTAGCTGCAGACATCGAGAATAGCGACAACGATGGCGAGGACGACACAAAAGCGCACGTCGATGCAACCAACTTCAGCGCTTGCTTGCAGACAATAGAAGGTGCGGATGAGTATCAAGACATAGAAGCCATGTGGCATGCGCCACATACAATCCGGACGCGAAGAAGAATGTCCTAGCACAGGAAGAGAGCCGACACAAGAGCCGACAGGAACAAAACGCAGGCGCCGGGATCTTTTCGCGACCCGACACCGGCAGAGGGCCGAGGAGAGGTTGGGCATGCATTGGGATGCAATCATATAAACTACTCTTTGTACTCCAAAGTACCGCTTAACAGCACAAAAACTAGCCCAGTCCAAAGCCCAAACACACCAATACAGTACTAGTCCAGTCCGGAGCCCACGTCATGCCGAGGTGGGTTCGGGGGAGCACACCCAAAACGCAGCAAAACTAGCCCAGTCCAAACCCCCTGCCCATGTGGTGCCGAGGTGGGTTTGGGGGGGGGCGCGGTGGGGCCGAGGAGGGGTTGGGCACGCATCGGGATGCAACTAAACTACTCTTAGTACTACAAAATATCACAAAAAACCAAAACTAGCCCAGTCCACAGCCCATGTGATGCCGAGGTGGATTCGGGAAAGCGCGGAGACGCGAAGTAGGGCCGAGGAGGGGTTGAGCATGCATTGGGCTGCAAGTAGACTACTTTAGGTACTCCAAAATACATATAAAGATACCAATAAAAACACACCAAAACTAGCCCAGTCTAGAGCCCATGCGGTGTTGGCATGCATTGATATGCAATTAAGCTACCCTAAGTTCTCCAAAATACCATTATTAAAACCCCACCAAAACTAGCCGAGTTCAGAGCTCATGTGGTGCCGAGGTGGGTTCGGGGGGCGAAGTGGGGCCGAGGAGGGGTTGGGCATGCACTGGGATGATGCAATTAAACTACTCTAAGTACTCCAAATACCATTAAAAACACACCAAAACTAGCCCAGTCCGGAGCCCACGTCATGCCGAGGTGGGTTCGGGGGAGCACTTCAAAATGCCATTAAAACACACACCGAAACTTGCCCAGTCCAGAGCCCACGTGGTGCCGAGGTAGGTTCGGGGGGGCGCTGGGATGCAATTAAACTACTTTAAGTATTCTAAAATACCACTAAAACCACACCAAAACTACCCTAGTCCAGAGCCCATGGTGCCGAAGCGGATTCGGAAGGGTCCAGTTCCATCCATCCGAAACAGCAGAAGCAACATAGCTTCTGGGCGCCGCCCCACGGGGTCGGCGGATAGGGCCTTGAACATTGTAGTATTATCTCACCGTCCCTAAATGCTATGGCTATGATATACAACAAAAACCTATTAAAATGGTAGGAAAAGTATCTCTGGGAACATACTGGCATCAGCAATGAACCGGATGCAACCTTGTCCGGCCGCCGCTTGGGCTTGCCTCAGAAAAATGCCGTCACATTGTGGTAACGCTATTGCAGTAACCTGCATATTAGCAGCCTCAGTTTCATAACCTCATCATCAGATGGCTTGCGCGGTTTTGGCTCCAGCTACTCAGCGAAATATTGCTGCTGGGTTCGGCGCCCTTCGTTCACTTGTGAAATCCACAGCCCACTTGGCCATCTGCCATGAGGCTTCATCTTGGCTTGTGCTTCGTCGTTAGCATCGTTTCGGCTGTTCGCAAAGCAGGAGACTTCCGCGCATCCTCGCAGCAGAGCCACCTCGAAGACATCCACGGGCATGCGAACCAGACCGCTGACATGTGCTGCTGTTGCAAACGTGAGGTGGTCCAGAGTGGGTGGCTGTTCAAGAGCAAGCACAGAACCAATAACTGTGCTGGAGACTTCAAAGTTATGTATTATCCTCGAGGCTGCCCTGAGGATATGATGGGACCCAAACAGTTCTGCCGGAAATCTGCCAATCCAGGATTGTGCGTCTAGACGCTGCAGGTGAAAAGCCAACACCGGTAGCTGTGACACTCACAGCAGATGTTTCTTTGAGCTTCTGTGCGGCTGCGGTGGGAGGCAAAATCCAAAGCTGCGAGAGACCGCACAAGACGTACAGTAATCCCCCCCGCTGCAAGCCCTTCGAACGGCGATTTCGATTGTCAGCATTATTGTCTGTTATCGCTACCTGGTCAGTCTGCATTCGGCTTCCATGGCTCCATGTTTTGCTTGACCACATTTAGTCCCAGCAACTGGGAACCTCGAGCAGGCTGGGCCCAGACACTGACAGTTCATTTTCAACCGAAGCCAGCCACTTCAAGTCCATTACAAGATTAGCAAACAGAGCGTAATCGGTGCAACATAAACGCATGGCACTGCTCCGCTGTCCGATGCGCAGCATTGGTCCCTTTGCTGCAGGAAGGGTTTGAACTTGAAAGTCTTTTGATGGCTGCGGACTTTTAGGGGACGCACCGCGAGGGAAGTCCCAGACCGTGAGCCCCAAAACCTCGAAACTCCAAAGCCCTCATACGACCTATAGCAGCCCTAAACCCCCAGACCGCCCCAGCCTTAGCTGACTCACTCAGGCGCGTTAAGGTCCGAAGGTCCTGTGCAAAAAGTGGCCCACAAGCGATGTGCCATGCACCATGGCCGACCCGAAGCCGAAAAGCAAGAACCCCGCAAAGGCCACGGCAAACCCAGAGCGAACCCAAGGAAATCCCGAAACCGTATAATCCCAACAAACCCAAAACCAACCACGGAAGCTCAGCGGTGCGGACGGAAAAAAAGCCGGGAGGCGGAGTGGGAAACGAAGTGCCGCGAGGCAAAGACCTCCGTGCGAAGCGGAAGGCGATCACGACCCATCCACATCTGGCCTCACGCGACTCAAAGGGCCGTCCAGTGATCCTAAACCACTGAAATCCTATACATCTGAACCTACAGCCCCCCAAAACTCTGAATCCTCACCTTTCCATCCCGGAGGGTCTTATGTCCGCCGTTCAGATACTTCGCACCTCTGTTGCCGCACCAGGAATATGTAGTAGATAAGATGGTAACGTAAGCTAGGTCCGCTAGGCTAGCCACGCCATAACATGCGTCGTTACTTTTAACCCTTGTAAAGCCCTAAAAAAGAAGTCCCTACAAAGCTTGTAGAAACCCGATAAACTCTGTAAAGGCCCTTGAATCCTTCATTACAGTGTTCTTTAAGAACAGAGCGCGAGGTCTTCCTGAGCCATGGATGCTGCCACGCCCTATGACTTCTCGGGATCCTCCTGCAGCCGCGAGGCGAGGGCACCAGGGTTTAGGCATTTAGGGTTTAGGGTTTAGGGTGTAGGGCTTGGGTTTGGCAAAGTTTGGAGGCTTCAGGTTCAGAGTTTAGGGCTTCTTGGTTTCTTAGGATCTAGGCTTCCAGGATGTGAGCTTCGGTCGTTAGGCTCTGGACTGGGTTGGTAGCAGCGTGTAAGGAAGCCTGAATAGCAGAAGGACCCCTACAGAAGGCACCATGTTTCGGTTCTTGGAGTTGCACTGTGGATGGGTACGGAAGCCATGAATCCTGGGCGGATACTCTGCCCGTGTCAGGCCACGCAGGTGCGATTCATGTATTTTTCGCCGGAGGACCAGGGTTTCTTGTTGAGGCAGTAGAGTGGTTTTCGAGAGAAGACGGGGCCTGGTGGGGTGCGTTGCAAGTCCTGCGCCGGCGCCTGCGAATTGCACTTGTCTCGCTGTCCTCAGAACAGGAGATCAAGTCGCTGAGCACCGTGGAGGCAACGTCATTTCCTCCCTCGGCTCTCGTTCATGACAAGACCGATCCTCCTCCACAAAGAGTTTAGAGATGCAAATGTTCAGCAGCTCCAAGACCTTGCAGCACAACCTGCTGACAAGATGACCGAACTGTACTGAACCCCTAGACTCACAGGTGAACGATGTCTCCACCTTCGATGAATGGGGCGCTCTTGCCTTAGTCGTGATGTAAATAGCAGGGCTTTCGAGCTGTTTAGAGAGTTTGGAGGAGCTTTCAAGGCAAGACGCACTCGCGGAGCCCCGGCTCGGGTTGCGGGTTTGGGGTGCTCGGTTTGATCATCTCTGGTTTGCATTGCTGTTTTGTTTGAGCGCATGCAACCGTATACCTTTGTTGCATTGTACTGGCACGATCGATGTTGTTGGCTTCTTCCAGTCTGCATCTCCCTTTGACAGCACTTCGTCAAGGAAGCAAGTTCTCCGTTCGAGTTCTCTTAAGGCTAGGCTTAGCGAGCTGGCACGACAACCATGCCCACAGCCCATGCCCGATCTCTTTCCTTTCGGAGTGCACCGCGTGCATGACTTCCACTTCGTTAGTTCGCGTGCTGCTTGGTTGTGTCGATGTGGTTTCATTTGAAGCTGCACTCCCGAAGCGCGGCACGGGCGATGGCCGCGATAGGTTGTGCTGCTTATTCAGTTCGCTAAGATGGATTTACCAAGTTGCCTGTCAAGAAGAGGAAGCAAGTTTGCACAATTCATTGTTGCACGATCAAGTGACAAGTGATTGGTCATGTTTTTCGGTAGATAGAGGATCAAGCAGTTGCTAAATTAATCGGCCGGTTTATCAAGCTTGTTGGTCATAGATGTCGTAAAAAACTTCGCTTACTTGCTGGCAACTGAATTTGGGCCGGCTCTTCAAAATGACATGTAGACTTGTTTTTAACATACCCCATGTAGAGTTTTGATGAGTGTGTAGGCTATACTGGCAAGAAAAATGCCTCTACCGAGGTTCCCGTTCGTGGTGGACTTCATTCGCGCGAGACTTACTGCGGAGTCGGGAATCCTCATGGCCACCACCGCGAACGGAATCCCTGAACTCCAAACCCTTAAAACCCCGAATTAAACTCTGCACTTCTTCTCACATTATCCAGTGGAAAAGCTGTGGCCGTGTCGGACTACGTAACCAGTCGGACCGGATCAGCGCAAGTATTGGCCTACACACCTATTGTGGACGTCATTCTCAGAGTTTCTTTAAGGGTACTACAAGGTTTGAATACGTCCTAGGAACGCTCTGATTCACCAAGGTTGGAAATGGGTCCAATCGCCGACTGCAAGCACAGTGTCCTCCCGAGAGCAAAGAGTGCCTCCAGTGCAGATGGCCGAACACCAGCTGGGTAGTTCTCTAAACTAGGGTCCCTTTTCGGGTCCGTTTTATAAGGGTGCCGTACTATACTGGGAACCTAAAAAGGGACCCTAATTTAGAAAACTACCCAGCTGGAGACGAAATCCGACAGATCCGAGTTCTGGCGGTCCCTTCTGTTGACTTGTTTAGGGCTGTTGCATACTTGAGTTGTACAAAGAATGAATGAAAACAGTAAATAACAGACAGATATCAGCCTTTAGTATACATAATCCCTGGATTAATGTCTTTCAAAGTCAGAATACATACAGTTTTAATATTATATAGTACTGGTACAACATACACAGTACTATATTACAATATGATGTAATACCGCATTTACTTTAAAACGCAACATATGCTGCTTGCTTACTATCTACCATTGACTGTATGACATGTAGTATCCAGTATACAACCTAATATACAATGCAATATCTCGTATGTAGTGTGTAATTAATCTGCAGACATTAGCATGCCATATGCAATTTCGAGTGTACATATATATATATATATGTATATATATGTGTATATGTACATACATGCACCGATTATCGTTACGATCATTGTCATGTCATGTTCTGATACAGCATGTTATATCATGTCATGTTACATATTTCCTATAACGTGTTATGATGTGGTGAAATGCATTCTGTTCGATTACAATTTAATGTGTGATGTCATGTTGTCAATTTATTACATCCGCATTCTGTTGTATCATAAAATATTGCACTGTACTGTTGCAGTATCTACTGTCCATTTCATTACTTTCTATTCTGCTTGATTCTGTGACATTCTACAATGTGCAATATGTCATTTCGTATCGTTCAGTATTCTATATGTACATACACGCGTGTCCAATATGTGTGTATCTGTATACATATGTGTATGCATATATAGAGTATATCCTATATCATATCCCCTAGGAACACATAGTGCATAACACATATCAATACTCTCTAATATATCGTATGTAATGCATGCCAAGGAAAGTATGGCTTACCATTTACAGTATATGATACAAGAATGCAACAAAACACAATATCGCATAGAGTGTGTGCATATTTGGCACAAAAGGTTCTTACATAAACTACAGAATCCGTGATACATAATTTTTAGTAGAAGCAGTATGTGTCTACATGCATCAGTATTTGTATGCATCTATATATGTATCTATATATATATATATATCTGTGTATGTATGTATGTATGTATGCATGTATGTATGTGTCCATACATACATATACACGTATACATACATGCATACATACATACATATACATGTGTATATATATATATATATATACATGTTGCATGTATACAAATGTAAAAATATACATGTATATATATATATATACATATATATATATATATTGTTCGTGCTTTTACTTGATTGATTGATCGATTGACTGATGGTGTGTGCATACAAGACAAATATGTGGTGGCAAATTTTCCAAAGCCCCCGCAGATCTCTCCGAGGCTCCATGGTTTGTCAGACGTGTGGCCTGGACAGAGACTGTCCCGGACACTTGGGGACGAGTCCTCGGATCCTTATACCTTCAAGGGTTTCAAGTTTAGGTTCAGGGCTGGTGGGGGGAATCTTGGTATGGCCCGGCAGCATCGTGTGTTTCGCGCATGATGAGCATTGATGAACTTTGTTTTCAGTTTGAGAGCACATGCACGCACTGGGCTGAGATTGCGCTGGCAGGGCCACAACCCTCATGGTTGAGAGATGTTTGGATTCAGGGCTGCATGGGGCTCTATGTCGCCGAGGCATATCCAGTTGGCTGCTCCGCTGGGGCCTTACGCTGCTGATGAAGCATGTTCTCAAGATCCATGCCAACATGTTGTCTGAAGGGCCTCGTAGGAAGCCTGTTGCCAAATGCCTGGATCATCCCAGTGCTTTGCCAGGTTGTTCAACCCTTTCATGATGAACAACCTGCTGCAGCTGTTACGTCAGCCTGGAGCCCATCATGATGCAGGGGGTCGTTACGCGAGCCATCCGTGTCCGTACTTCTCGTTCGCTTTGCCTCATGCCGTCCCACTCTTCCGTCTTGGGCTCCTGCGGTCCTGTGTCCTGCGCTCTCGCGATGCTTGTTTCTGGCACTTGATAACAGGTGACACTCTGATGCGCACTTAGACCAGAGCACAGAGATTCCCGACTGAAGCTCAAAAGTCCTTCAAAACAGGTATTGAGTGGGTGGCCTTTGTGTGGCACAGTGAAACAAGCCTGTGCACTTCTTGAAATTCTATCGTGCATTTACTTCGACTGCCAAGGACGTGCCACAAGTGCCACAAGTTCAAGTGCAGGGAGGCCTGGCAGAGTGAGAGTGCGCACCTGTCTCGCCAGTGGCATTCGCCTGCTCTCGCGTGCCTCTTGAAAGTACGTAAGGCGATACTGGTAACTAGTATCAGTAGCACATGAGGAGCAGCAGGAGGGCCGGGGCACAACAGCTCCCGGAGTCCCTGCCACAGCAACAGCAAACACAACCGACAACCAACACCCGTTCAACAACCAACAACCAACACGGACCAACATCAACACCAACAACACCAGCACCACCGCCACCACCGCCACCCACCACCACCACCACCACCACCATCATCATCACCATCATCCTCATCGTCATCGTCATCATCATCATCCTCATCCTCATCCTCATCCTCATCCTCATCATCATCAGCAGCAACAAAACAACAGCAGCAACAGCAACAGCAGCAACAGCAACAGGAATAACAACAATAGCAACAACATCAGCAGCAACAGCGACAGCAGCAACAATGACGACGACGACAACAACACCCATAACAACTACCAACCATGCCATAGCCACACCCACAACAACAACAACGACAACAACAACAGCCAACAACGACAACACCAACCACAACCACAACCACAACGCCAACGCCAACGCCAACGACAACAGCAGGAGCGGCGGCGGCGGCAGCAGCGGCAGCCGCACCAGCACCAGCAGCAGCACCAGCACCACCAACAGCAAGAACATCGACACAACGACTCCTGCCCCGGTCTGTCGTCATCTTTGCTGCTGCTGCTGCTGCTGCCGCCGCGGCTGCTGCTGCTGCTGCTGCTGCTGGTGCTGCTGCTGCTGCTGCTGCTGCTGCTGCTGCTGTTGTTTCGTGGGCACTGCCGTTCTGCCTATGGCCAGGCGGTCACAGATGCCTTTGCCCCGGCCTCAAATACACCTGCGAGTAGCTGTACTGTAGTTTGGACTATGTCTACAGGCGATTTCCTCAACTTCCGGCGATGCCCGATGGCTCCGGCAATAATGATACAATGATACTCGCAACAGTAATCACGATCTTTGCGATTACGATTGAAACTGGTGGCACGCGACGCAGCCTTCGGCTTTGCAGCATGTTTGCTTTCAGTGCAGTTCAACTAGAACAGCCAGAAAAGCCGCAAGAAACATGTCCAACCCAGCCATGAGCCAGCTTGCGCAAAGATTGAATCTGGGTCAGGTGCGCCAGCTGGAACAACTCTCTCCCGGCGAGATCCCGGAACCGAGGTACCAAGCAGCTTCCAAGCGCCGCACTCAGTTGGGGTATAGGAGCCGCAATAGTTTGCAACCTCAGTTCGCTTAGGAGGATCCTGGTTAGATGTACAGGACCACAATGCAAGAAGCCCGAAAGCTCTTTCTTCGGTCCTATGCGGCCCTAGATTCACCTGTGGCCGCTTAGCCTTACTGTCAACCCTGAATCCCTAAACGCTTATTGGTACTGCAAACGAAAAGCCCAAGGCGCACAGGCCATGGAAACACGAAATTCGAAGCCCCTAGATTCTACCCTAGATCCTCAACGCTGACACCCCCAAAACTTCGGAAGACGGGAACCCTAATACACTAAGCCCTGAACCCTTGGGGCCCTAAACTTGAACAGCATAACCAAACTTGCTTCCAAAAGCCTAGGCCTTTCAACCCAAACTTACGGCCCTGACCCTAGGCCGAAGCACCCTTGAGCTGGAGCCCCGAAAGGCCCGAAGGCCTTTTTCCGTTTTCTTCCAAAACCACAAAAATTATCTCAGGCCGGGGCTTCTCTCCGAGATCAGCCCAGATCCCGCGGACATCGTGTTCCGGGTGGAGGAGATCACCAGAGACGGTGGGGCTGGGTTTAAGGGCTGTGGGATGAAATTTAAATGTTTTCGGGTTCGTGCCCGGAGTTCTTTGGAAAGTACCAGACAAGCGACATCTGGGTGGTGTGTATTTTTAGGTTTAGGATGTCTTCGTCCATCCAGCGCTCATCCCGTTGGCTACTAAGGCTTAGTTTAGTGTTCAGGGTTGCCTAGGTAGACTTGATGGCAGCCAGGTACCACGACGACCAGGGAGGTGAGGAAAGCACAAGACCTCAAGCAGACGAAGCAGGCGGGCCAGTGTGCAAACCCTAGCCCCTGACGCCGGCCACCCGAAAGCCGGAAAATCCTCAAACCCGCTCACCCTTAGCCCTAAGCTCCGAAGCCCTGCAGGCAGCAGAAAATCTGGTAGCCGCCCTTGATGCCAAAAGAGCAGAGCAGGACCCCACTTTGCTCAGGGATAAGGGCTTTAGGGTCTAGCTTCTGATAGGTTAGGCAGGATGTACGCACAGATTTGAGGTTCAGAGTCTTAGGGCGGAGCAACGCGCCATGATTTGATTCCATTACGTGCCGTCGATCATGAATGTTGCCCTTATGGTTGCGATTTGGATGATCCCGATAGCTGTAGTTATGACTACTGTCACAGTCGCTTAGTTTCATTACTCTAAATTCTCAGTCCTCATGACAAGCACTTACCTTTATGAGTCAATCGCGACTCTCGATCGAAGCCAAAGAGACCGCAGCACTAGGATGCTGCCGCAGCCGCTGCACGTGCTGGTCAGAGCAAGGGCGCTCACGGCCCCCAGGCTCCGGAGAGAAATGGTCGCGCTTACTACGGACTACGGATTTGGGTGTTGGTGTGAGACATCAACGCATCAGGGCGGGAGGGGAACGGACAGATGGTGTCAGAGTCATGATGTGGCCTTGTTTTTCATTCTTGGCAACAACCACGGCGACAACTTGTAGTCGACGGGATAACATCAAAGATCACTCCAAGCTCCGAACAACGAAGCTCCCGTTTGCGAATGTTCCGCGATGGTGCTGATGAACAATGTGGTGCTGCGCAGGATGACTCAGGTGATGACGACCATGACGGAAATGATCACGTTTATTTTCTGGTGATAGTGACGACGGCGATGATGATCACGCTGGTGGCAGTGAGGAGTGTTGGGGTAGTGTGATGGCAACGACGGCCGTTGGTGATGATGATGATGATGGTGGTGATGATGATGATGATGATGACGACGATCATGATGGTCGTGCGTGTTTCTATTTGTCTTCTGTTGTGAGTGTTGCCAGGTATTGGTTTAATTATGATGGTCCGTAGTTCTGACTCTAGTTTGTTCCTGCAGCTGTGATTACTATTGCTATTCCGGCCTTGGTCGCCTTCATCACCACCGGTCGTCATCCCTACCATAGTAGGCGTCAGTTTTCCCCATCGTCATCAGCAAACCTGGTATTTACAGCAGTGTCTGCGGGCACAGTATGTCAAAGGACACAAGGGTTATAAAAGAGTATATATATTTAATGGCTGCCGCCA